TATATATATATGTATATATTTCGCTAAATTCTGATTTACTGAGTCCAAAAATAAATGTTTGCAAAGCCCTACATTAGTAAGCAACAAAACCCTGCGAATCCCTACGTCTCAGGTTATAAGGAATATCAGCACATTGATTATGAATTCTCTCTGGAGCATCAGAGTTGCACGCCTGCAATGAAGGAAAGTTTATACGTTCAGGTACCTTTGTCAATCTATCCACATGTACTACCTGCGACTGCTGTGGGCTCGTAACTGACTCAATTTTAAAATTCACTTTGGTGACCTGTTCGACCACTCTAAATGGACCCTTATTAAACTTCGCAAATTTCTTAGTCAATCCAGGCCGCAACACAGGAGTATAAAGATACACCATATCCCCTATTTTAATATTTTTTGAAAAAACAACCTTGTCTCTAATCTTTTCCTGTCTTTCAGCCGCCTCCGTTAAGTTTTTATTTACTAAAGAGAAAACCCTGCGGAGTCTTAAAATTAAATCCCTTGAATAAGTGTCTGTGTCACGATAAGTCTTAAAGTCTGTTTGTGTCAACAAATCAATAGGTAAATTTAAATCTCTTCCATAAAGAAAAAATGCTGGGCAGTCCAGTAATGCGCCATGCCGTCCAGTTCTGTGCGCTAAAAGTGCGAAAGGCAAATGTCTGTCCCAATCGTCCTGCGTCTCACTGACAAGGTGGCTGAGAGAATTTATTAGAGTAGCATTTAAGCGTTCAACGACTCCGTCAGACTGCGGTGGTAACTGGTGGTGGTGGTGTGCTTAGTGATGCCTAATTTCTGATATACTTCTTTTATTGCATGTGAAATAAAATTCGAGCCCCTGTCAGTAACTACGTGTAAAGGCACACCGTGAGCCGAAATAAAAAGTTCCAGTTTTTCTATGATAGATTCAGAAGTAAAGTCTTTCAAAGGATAAGCCTCGGGCCACCTCGTAAAATAATCAGTGATAACTAAGATGTATTTATTTCCCTGTAAAGTAATGGGTAAGGGACCAACAATGTCCATGGCTATTCTTTCTATCGGACGGAGAAGCCACAGGCATTCTCAGAAGAGGAGCCTTGTGAGAAGGCCGGTGACCCCTCCTTCCGATACAGGAATGACAAGATTTTACATAATTATGAATGTCCCTATACATGCCTTTCCAATAAAAGGATTTTTGAATACGTTGCAGTGTGCGATGGAACCCGGAATGCGCCGCCACCGGCGAATCGTGGTGCTCTTGCAGAATACGTGAAACTAAAGATCGTGGAACAACCAACCTGTGCAGTTTTTGCCAACGGGTACGTTGCTTAGCATATTCACAATATAAAATGCCATTACGCATAAAAAATTTCAAAAAACGAGGACTAGGAGTCAAATTTTTTTTATATCTGAAATAATCTGCTTACAATGCATATCTGAACCCTGCTCTTCTTTGAACGTCTGTAATAAGTCTGGACTGACAGAATTTTGAACAAGGATGCGTTACATTTACTGCTCTAGACAAGAAATCAGCTGTTACGTTCAATTTCCCTGGTTTATGTATTATTGTATAGTCAAATTGGGACAAGCCCATAATCCACCTAGCTATCCGAGAAGTGGGATCCTTCAATTTTAGTACGTGGGACAGCGACGCTTGATCTGAATAAATTGTGAACCTTTTCCCTAAAAGGTACTGGCGAAAAAAGGCAGTTAGCCCAAACTACTGCTAAAACTTCCCTTTCAACTGTACTGTATCTGGTCTCCGGATCTTTTAACTTCCGGCTTGCGTAACAAATTGGATGCAAGAACCCAGTATCATCCTCCTGACAAAGAACAGCTCCTAAGGCTAAATTGGAAGCGTCCGTACAAAGCGAAAACGGTTTGGAAAAATTGGGTAGAGTTAAAATAGGTTCCTTTAAAAGTTCATTTTTAAGAGTGTCAAAGGAATTTTGAGCTTCATTGGTCCATTTAAATACAACTTTGTCTTTTGTTAGCTGTGTAAGAGGAAGAGCCTTCTGTGCGAAATTAGGTATAAATCTTCTATAAAAACCTACAAGCCCGAGAAACCTTCTAACTTCTTTTCTATTCCGAGGAGGAACAAATGCTTGTACAACTTTTAAATTTCTGTCATCTGGTTGTAAGATACCTTTTGATACCTTAAATCCTAGATAAGTTATTTGGCTTTTGAGAAAATGACACTTGGACGGTTTCAACTTAAGATTATGATTTCTGAGTCTGTCAAAAACTATTTTAAGCTTTTCAAGGTGTTCGTCAAAAGTACTCGAAGCTATCACAATGTCATCTATGTATATGCCTATTTTTAACGGGGACAGATTGGCTAAGACAACAGACATGAGCCTTTGAAAGGAACTGGGTGCATTGCGCATTCCGAAAGGTGTCCGAAGCCATTCGTAATGCCCGGAAGGGGTCGAAAAACCACTTTTAAATGTGTCATCCGGGTGGATCTTCATTTGGAAAAATCCCGAAGTTAAGTCCAACGTTGAAAACAAATTCGCATCACCCAATTGTTCCACAAGCTCGAGCATATTAGGAAGAGGAAATGAATCTTCAACAGTTTTTTCATTAAGTTTCCGAAAATCCGTCACTAATCTATACGTATTATCAGCTTTCTTTACAAAAAGAACCGGCGCACTATATGGACTATCGCTTTCTTGAATAATATTGGAATCCAATAATTCTGTTATTTGCCTATCTAATTCCTCGCGAAGATGAAAAGGCACTTTGTATGGCTTTTGTCGAACCGGAATACTATCCTTAAGGTTAATATTGTGTAGAATTGTATCGCACCCCGTTAGCTGAGTTACAGAAGAAGCGAAAATGTCATTGTAATGGCTTAAAAGCTTAGTCAGGTGCTGCTGCTGATCCGGTGACAAGTGAGAAAGGTCAAATTCTCCCCCCCCCACGACTCAAAATCCTCTCCTTTCTCCATGGTCGTCGTGTTATTCACGCAAGCAGTTTCTATTGAAGACACAGTAACAGGAAGAATAGATGCTAACTTAGTTCTTTTGTTAATATGAATAGTCTGTGGAGTAAAATTTGCTATCTTAACGTTAAAAGTCTTAGAATCATTATTTAAATTAACTGATCTTGCCACAGAGAATTTACTATGAGAGTTTTTATCAATCGGCTCTAATAGGACTGTGTCATGCGAATCATTAAACGTAGGAGCAATTACCTTTACTATATTCTCAGAAAACGGCAAAAGTTTATGTTTACGAACTGCATAGCAATAATCCAAGGAATCTATCGGTCTCGGAAAGAGACAATTTGAACTGTCACACCAACGTAAAGCAAAATTTTGCCCAAGTAATTGTTTAGTGCTAAAATCCAGCATGAGTGCATTATCAAGTAAAAACTGTGTTCCTAAAATGGCACCATAGTGCAAAGAAAAATCCTTGTCCTTAATGAGAAAATCAACAGGAAAAATCCTGCCTTGCAATACTACGGGAAGTGAAACTTTTCGTGTGATTAGAACATTCTGATTAGAAATTCCTTTTAAATAAAGTTTACAAGGAGAAAATGAAACTTTATCCCCTAACCCTGCAATAATTTTTTTCCTCTATAATATTAACCGTTGCCCCCGAATCTATCAAAAATTTAATTTCTGTCTGTAATATAGAACCCTCTACTATTGGTAATGAAGATTCTCCTGTAGTGACTACAAAGACGGATGGCACCTCCAAAAGGGCATTCGAGGAAGAAATGGAAGCGTGTTTCTCCCCACCCTTTTCTAGTTTAAATTAAATGTCTGAGCTTGGTGATTCAATTTGCTACCAGTTGCACCTCGATCCTGAGATGCTACCGCCAAATGTTCGGGTGCCATATGAGAATTAAGTGTATTCGCCGTTCCTTCCTGCCTCTCTTTGTCGAAATCTGTGATCTGATCTACCCTGCTCGTTATTAGACCTGCCATTTACATAACAATTTCTGCTTATGTGTCCTACCCGGTTACAACGGAAACATCTAGGCTGTAAGGATCTCGACCGAGGATTATGCACCATCAAAGATTGCATTTGGCTCTGCAAAGTATTCATCATCTGTGTCAACTGGGTTAAGTTCTGTTGTTGCAATCGAATAGCCTCTACAAGCTCTACATTTATCACCCGAAACACAAAGAGTGTCCTTGGAATTTACCGTACCCGTAGTATGGACCGCCTTAACTTCCGCTGACTGAAAATCTGCCTCAGCATGGTTTTTTATCCACATCTCTTCCTCCAAAACTGCGTGGTTTTTCGCTGCTACAAATGATTTATGATTATGGGGCAAAAGCAGACGTCTAAGGTGCAAATGCAATCCTTCTAGAAAAACAGATAATAGCAATTCCTGTCTCTGAGTCTCTGCTGCCGGATCGCCCATCCTTTCTACTGGCACTGTTTTATAAGATAAAGCCTCGATACGCGCAGCGAATTGTCTGACTGACTCCCGCGGCTTTTGAAATGCCTGTATAAGGGAGCGAATATGGGAATGTAGACTTTGAACTGTTGTAAACCTGTCCTTCAAGGCACCTACCAGGTAGGAAAAACCAGCTTCGCTCCTCAAACGCGGATTATTCCTAACAAATTCCGCGGCTTCCCCCCCCCCAAGTTTAACCCGAATTACCGTAACTTTATCTGACTCCGTCCATCCTACATGTGATGCTATCAGTTCGAGTCTATCTAAAAAATCAGCTAGGCTAATGCTATTTTCTCCTCCCGTAAAAATAGGAACTGACTCCAGTGGGTCCAAGCCAAAAACTGAAGTACCCTTTACGCCCGGGGCTGTCTCTTCCAACATCTCTACTGATGGGTCAGGCTGTCTAGTAGAACGGCGCGTTTTCTTCGACATATCGCCCTCTAATAGTTTTGAATCATTCAAAAAGTTTCCAAATTGTCAAGCTAATTTAATCAGCTGCCAGTTACGCGCAAACTTAAAAAAAACCTCCACTCATTGACAACTCCGGTACTTTTACAGAAAACATAAGTATCGATCATTACATCTAAAACATACTGAGTATTTCGAAAGCCTCAAAATTTAAAATTCACAACCTTCTTAAAACCTAATACTTTTGTACTAGTAAACAACCTAACATGCACAGTATGAAATCATTGAATCACACGTACTAAAACACTATCTTTTTTGGTTAATATTATACCAAAACAGTTTAACTAATCTTAAATTCAAGTCTTAAATTAAATTAGAGAATTAATATCCTGCAGTAACCAGTAAGCAAACATAATTCAAATCAAAACCTTAATTAGTCCTCACACATAAAATTTAACACTTTCATAAAACAGTAAGTTATACAAAGTAAATAAATTCAAAAAATAAGTTACTGATTCGATCCTTCACTAAGCAGAGGTCACGGCACCAATGTTATATAGAAGTTTCGACACCAAGGTTAAATAGCTTTACTTCAGGTACCATGTTATATCTGAAATTCCTATATGTTAAATGTTAAATAGGAAACTACTTGCCGTGAAAGGTTTCTACTTACTCTTAGGGGAGGAACTAAACTCTTAAGAATTTGCTAATTACCAAACTTTTAGTGATCGTATAGTGAAACGTGTACAGCATTTTTGCGTTGTGAAAAAAATGCATCCGGGACCGCGCCGTGAGAGGATCGAAAACATAAGAAAAACATGTACAAGATATAAAGGAAAAGTTCATATTAAATATATAAAGAAAACATACTGTAATAGGTTTCCAGATTAAATATCAGTTTATTCAATTACATCACAATAAGAAAAATCTTAACCTCATCTGAGAGTCTAAGGAGAAGTCTTCAATTTGTCATTTATTTTTTTTCATTTAAATTCATAAAAAAACTTAAGGTTTGTCTGGTAATTTAAAAAAAGGAAAGGGAAACAATTTAAGGCCTGAGAGTTAAATTTTAGATTCGACGTTGTTTTTTACTGCTAAGGACGTTTTTGAAAAGCTTGCCTAAAGTTCAAAACACAAAAAAAAAAAAATAAAACTTATCTTGAAGGGACATCTTGAAGTGGAGGACTCGTATCTTATCCAAGCGTTGATGTCGGCCGGGCTCATCTTGACACTGGTTCTAAAAATGTAGACGCCACTTCACCACTGTAGAACAGAAACAGGAGCACTGCTGCCCAGGACGGCTATCCGCTTGGTCCTGAAAGTCCTATGTCAACACGCAGGTAACTCGTTCAAATTTCGCCTCTTTACCAGCACGCCGCAAGGAAGAGTGTTTTCAGCTTCAGGCCAGAAACGTTTTTCTAGGCAATTACGGCTCGCCTGTTCTTACTCATCCCAAGAGCAAGCTTCACGAGTAACGTCCCAAGTAAGTTCCACCCGCCAGTCAGTAAGAGAGAGAATCCAACTCGAATTTCCTTCAAGCCAGTTTTCAAGAGCAACGTCCACAAGTCCAGCAAGCCCGAAAGTCAGCGAGTCCAAGAGTGACCGAGTCAAAGAGTGCATCCAACTCGAATTTCCTTCGTCTCCTTCACAAACGCGGGCTCCCACTATGGCTTCACTTATCGCCCCCTTAATTATGGCAAAATTTTCGTTTTCAACCCCTGAATGCGGAAATAAGGGTGATCGCGCATGCGCGCCTTTCTTCACTTAGCCAACAACCGGACCCTCAATCGCCAAAAACCTGAATGACTTACATTGAAAGACAAGTAGCAACCTTTGACCTTTCTGTCACGTACTTTCCTCTCTTAAGGTCAACTAACAATGAAAATTCTTTCTCGAACATTCTAAAGGACAAAGCGCGCGAAATCATGACTTGGCAAAAATTGCCTCCCTTTCCCTGCTTCTTTCACAATGAATAAAAGTTTGTACAAGATTTGCAAATAAAGGAAAATAAATAATATTCTTTTAAACTAAATAATATTCCCAGAAGCATCTGTTTTTCCCCAAAATTAAAGCCTTAAATAAATAATTCAGAATCAAAATAAAAATTAAGATTTCCATAAATCATAAAATCATTCACCTAGTTTTTATAACGCTATCAACAATTTCTACGTTTTTTCCAATATTTCTATTAAAGTAAGAATATCCATTAATTAGCTTAGGCCGCCTTTTCTTTCGCTCCCATTTTGCCAAAATAATTAGGTAAAAGCAAATATTGGCTTATTCTAGATTTGTTTCAGTTCTTTGGATTTGGTCCGAAAAAGCGGCTGGTCCGATTATCTGGTGGACCCAAACGTCTTTCCCTAGAGGCTTGTGAGGAATTATTTCAAGAAATAGATGAAACAAACCAATGAATTGTAACAAGGTCATGGTTAATCCCCTTGAATATACTGATATCAAATACCAGCTAGATATATGACTTGGAAAAGAAAAACATTCCTGATGCAATATTAAAATCAAACACATTATGTATGTTATATGAACAATACCCTGAACCTAAATGGACTAGAGCATACACTAATGGCTCTAAAATACAAGACAACACTGGGGCTGGTGTATACAGTAAACGTTTTCCCCAATGTACTCCCGTGGGTCACTTCATGTCGAATTTTGATGCAGAGATCCTTGTAGTCTCTCATTGGCTCTGGAAAATCTCAAGATAAAGATCAATTGTTTCTCTAAAGCAGTTATTCTAGTTAATTTCAAAGCAGTCATCCAGGCTGTAGTTATAAATCATGACACAAATACTCAGATTATCTCAGAAATAAGACAGACCTTGAACTTTCTTTATAAACACAACAAAACAATCGTTTTTCAATGGATCCCTTCATATGTAGGTATTGATGGTAATGAAAAGGCAGACTCACTGGCCAAGAGAGGAACACTTGCACTACAAGACAGCAAACCACATCATCTAGAGTCACTTAAAAAGCTATTTTTTCAGAAATTAATGGCTACTCTTAAATCTGACCAGGCAAGCAAAAGCAACAGACAAATCCTGGGCTAACATTCAAGAAGCATGGAAAAAGTTTGGTCAAAAACTCCGTAATGAGACTAAGGCAAACTTCAGACTGCAAACAGGTCACGATTGCATGGCACGTCATCTTAATAAAATTGGCATCCTTCCATCTAGTATATGCCAAATTTGCAATTCGGGCATCATGAATGAAGAGCATCTCCTTATACGCACAGAACTAGATAAAGAATCTCAGAAACATGGTGAGATAAGTAAACTATATTGGAATGCCAGAGCATTCATGAACTCCTTGTAAAGACTAAATCTCTTATGTTCCTTTCCTTATTGTTTAAATTTTTAACTTTTTACTTTTGTTCCCATGTTCATTTATTCTTATTCTTTCTTTATAAATGTTTTTTTTATTATTTATCATTGTTCATGTGTGATATTTGAGCTGTTTAATATGTTTGCATTGATATTTCCAATAAAGCCATATTTAACAACAAAACAAAAAAATAAAAATGGTGTAAGATTTTAAATTAAAAATTGCAGTAATTAATAATTTAAATTTTCTGGTAGCAGTAAAATAAGCAGGAAAAAGAGAAAAGTTGAATTAAAAAACCCTCTCATAGGAAACAAAAGAACAAGCGGGTCAAGTTCCTCGATTTTGAACTGAAGCTAACTGAAAATGCTTCTAATTTTCTGAAACATATTATTACTGGTGATGAGTCTTAGGTGTTCGAGCATAAGAGCACCCACAGCCATAGCCAGGAGTAGCACACTTCCACATTCCTGCCATAGCCAGGAATAGCACACTTCAAACTCCCCAAAACCAAGAAAGAAGGAGCAAATTAACTATCAAAAGCATGCTAATTTGCTTTTTTGATGGCCAGAGAGTCATCTACAAACAGTTTATGCTTCCAGGTCAAATCATGATCCAAAACTTTTACTAAGCTGAAGGACTTTGGAAACAGATCATGCATGTGAGACCAAAGACTAACTGGGTGCACACACCTTATCACACTGCTTTTCAATTAATGAACTTTTAGTACATAAAATGATTCCTGTGGCTACTTAGTCCGCTCATTCCCGACTTGACGCTACGTGATTTTTTTTCTATTCCGAAGATGGAAAACCCACTTCAAAAGACATCATTTTAGGACTCTAACAAATATCAAAATTCTCATAACCAACTGAAGGTAATTTCATTTTCCAAGTTCTAGCACTGCTATTGTCTTCAATGCTGTGTGGTCTTTCCAAGGACATTACTTTGAAAGAGATGTGAAATTTTAATTTTAATTGAACAAAAATCATAAAAAAAAAATAATCCCGCTATTATACTTACACATCTTGTACATTAGATTAACTCAGAATTTTCTCCAACTCGTGTAGTTTACATGTAAGAGATTGATGAATAATACTGACAGAGGCAAAATTTTGGTCTTTCACCTCAGTGCACTGGACACAATTTTGAAATATGTCTTATTAAAAATTCCTTCAATTTCTATCATTTTAAGAAAACCTTATTTTACTCATAATTTTCTTTGAAAAGGAAGTCTATTTAGTTTTTGGCATTTTTTCCTGATATACTGAGGAAAATCTCTTATTATTTTTAAATATGATTTAATACATCTAATGATTTTATATAAAAATTTAAAGCATGGACTAATGCCACCTTTTAATTTAACTAAAGAAATTTTATAACTTTTACTGAAAAGGAACTGAATTAATGGAACAAACAACCTTTATAAGTTTCACCAAGATTTTTTAGACAAATACTTTAGAAACAAGTTAGTACTTTGAATTGGGAGGTAAGTATTCAGTAGAGTTCTCATTAAATTTTGCTTCATTTTATTTATTTTAAGGAATTTTAGTGATATTGTTGAACAATTTTTGCCCCTTTAAATAGGAATAGGAAATCAGCAAATCTCACTAAAGCAATTAGAATAATGTTCCAGCAAAGCATACAAAAGTTATCTCCTAATAAAAGGAGATAGAACACCTTTCAAAGCTAAACAGGCTAAACATATAAAAACACATTCAGTACATGAAACAAATTAGGTCTTGCTCTCAGATTCTAAGTGTACTTTTTATCCAGAGATATAAACTTCAGTTAGCATGTGACATTTCAAGGGGTTCAATTATAGTCAAAATGTTCAGGATGCCAAATAATATTCTCCTCAACAAATCAACAAATGGCATCCTGAAACAAAATTTCTTTTACTTTCACATCATTGATTGGAGATGCCAAGGGCATATATTTCTATTGTAAATTAGAAAAAGCAAAAGACAAGATGCAGCCAGCCCACCAAACTAAAGAAATAGAAGCCAGAAAAATTACTAATTTTTGAAAACATAGATCTGAACAGTCTGTTAAGCTTCACTGATTTCTTATATGTATGTTCCTCCAATGTATTTTATAAAATCTGCTCAATTACTAGATTTCTGTAGGACATTAGAAATTCACAACAGAAATTGCCTTTTCTTTTAACACACATAAAAAAGTATTTAATATTTACCATTGTATTATATATCTCATTTTCTTGCAATGCTGGATCACGTGGATCCAGGACATAATAGTCATTTGGATAATCAGGCTCATTGGACCACGATTCATTATCATATCCAAATTCAGTGTCAATTTGAGGATCTGAAAAAGATAACTTTGCTAAAAGAGCAGTGAAATTGTGCTTATACTTCAAAACCTGCAAGAAAAAAAGAAAGCTGCATATTTTAAATGTTCAAGACAGATTAATAGAAATTGCTAAATTATGACTTAAAAAGTTATGCTTTTAACTTTTTCCGAGAGAAAACTTCCACTACTTCAGATTACACTCCTTTCCACTGGTGCTTTCTGGCCCTACAGTTCCCATGATCTGGCCATCTGCCACAAGGGCAGCAGTATTCATGATATAAAATCTGTTTACAATTGGTGTGTTTTGGCTTAACAATCCTATATTCCACATTTAGCTGTAACATTTGTCAACAACAAAAATTCACCCTATAGAATAGCAATCACACATAACATAATATGAACTTCTTTGTTACTGAATCAAAAAGTATGATTTAACCAACTTGGCTCAAAAGTTTCAAGCCTTTAAATTTTTGTTAAGACTACACATGGTGTTTCCAAATTCAACTGACAAATTCAGAGGGATGATAGTAGACATCAAAAGGATGAAAATTACGATGAAACATGGGGTCACAAAGCCCATTTAGTGGGTGTAAATGACAAAAATAGATGTTAAGAGAATAATCAGCCTGACAAACAGATAAATGTGAGGATCAGAAGCACTGCAGTCGAGAAGAAGAAACCTTTTGTATGCAAATTCCTATATGCATGGGAAAAATAAAAGCAGCAAGCAAGTATTTATTAGTGAGCATTGCAGAATTCACGGGTGTTACATTTCATTCAGAAACAATATGTCAGATTATAAGAATGAGGAATATGTGGCTAAATATCTGATTTATGGAAGAGTAGATGACAATGAATGCCTAGGGCAGAGGATGTACAAAAAGCGATATCTGAGCAGGCACTGTCGCCACCATACTGCCTTCACGGGCATTGATCAATGGCTGTGGGAAATGGGATCCTTCCAAATAATCTAACAGGCCAAGAATGCAGTGTTCATACATCTGAAATACACTGGTGTAAGAAATTAAGAGAATTTTCATATTTGATTTACGATCTCTAGAACTAATGGACAGATTTTAATAAAATTTGGTGTGAACATAGGTTGATATAATACAAACAAAATAAACATTCAACAGTTATAGAAATACACTGGTGTAAGAAATTAAGAGAATTTTCATATTTGATCTACGATCTCCAGAACTTCCTTCCAAATAATCAGACAGGGCAAGAATGCAGTGTTCATACATCTGAAATACACTGGTTTACGAAATTAAGAGAATTTTCATATTTGATCTACAATTTTCAGAACTAATGGACAGATTTTAATAAAATTTGGTGTAAACATAGGTTGATATAATACAAACAAAACAAACAGTTATAATAGACACACATGTTCGTGTGTAACACTCACTGGAGTCTGAAGGTCTGAAACAGCGGTTGCAGAAGACACAAAAGAAATGGGTTAATAGGGAGTATGGTCCTTTCTTACAGCCATACAGTCCTCACGGCGTGATGTCATACTGGAAATAAGGCAGTTTATCAGTGCCTGTGGCAATTAGTCCCACTCATTCGGCAATGCTGTTTTCATTTCCTGGATGGTTCTTGGAGGGGTTTGCAAGTTGCAGTTGCCCTCCCCAGAGTGTTCCAGATATGCTCTATATGGTTGAGGTCTGGAGACTTAGCTGGCCAATTCATCTAGCGAATATCCTCACTCTTGAGAAATTCGTCGACCAGAAGAGCTCTATGTGGCCGCGTTATCTTCCTGTAAGATGAACTCGGGGCCCACTGCACCCTAAAAAAGGCGAACATAGGGCTCCAAGACCACATCCCTATACCTCACATCAGTCTCAGCGCCTCTGTCAAAGACGTGGAGAGGTGTGTGGCCATCCAACATGATGCTTGTCCAGACCATTACACCCCCACCACCATAATTGTTGATTTTGCGGACATTGAAAGTACGGCGCGAATCAGTGTTTAGGCTAAAATGAGACTCGCTGGTGAACAGAACGGTCGCCCATTGCTCCATACTCGAATCACTATGCTGCCTGCACCATGCTAATCAGACTCTTCTGTTCATAGACGTGAGCGGGATGCAAACAGCCGGTCTTCTGGCAAACATCCCTCTCTCATTCAGTCTTTTGGAAACAGTCACCTTTGTTACACAGGCTCCTGTGGCTGCATACAGGTCCCAAGAGAGCTGAGAAACTGTAGCCCCTCTGTTACGCCTTGCTAATATAAAAATAATCCAATATTCTGGAATTGTTTCTATAGGTTACACACAACGCTGGGCGTTAAATTAAACTCTCTGTATATCTGGACTTGCAATTGGCCTGCCTCTAGCCTCCACATAATTCACCACCTCATTCCATCTAAATGTTGGTGGTTACTCATTTTTACTGATCCGATGTGAATTTAACTGATTGCTGCAAGATAACACCAAGAAATTCGCTGAGGTGTGCTAGCCAACGCAATTCATTTTATCCTCTATGCGCTTATAAAGCCTGTTATCTGTTGGCTCCGCCTACACACATAAGTGTGCTTACATATTTGCCGTACAAGATTTGCATTTTTATATAGAAGCAGTGGTTTTTCCTTCAGTTCAGTTATTTTCACGCAATTCGATAAAATATGCAAATTCTCTTAATTTATTTCACCAATAAAGAAAAGAGTATTACAACAATCTGCCGTTTCCCTGTTGGCCAGTACACGATCGGTTGCAGCTGAACTGGCTGTTCATCATAAAATGGTGTGAAAGGCTCTATGCGCAGAAAAAATGCACTCCTTCCACATGCAGATGGTTCAACTCCTAGGCAATGCCGACTATTCCCTTCAGGTAGAATTAGTACGCTGGATGCATAATGTCAGACAGAATGATTCACAGTTTCTTGCCACTATTTTATTCTCAAATGAAGTTTGCTTTATGAGAGAAAGCATGGTCAGCATAAACAACAATGCGTGCACATATGTGGTCATCCGAAAATCTCCACAGCACTGTCTCACAGAAAGAGAAACACAAGTTCGGTATTAACATCTAAGCAGGGATTCTCGAAGATCATCTGTTGGGACTCCACCTTCTGCCCGAAAGCCTCAATGGAACAACAACATGTCTTCCTGGATTCAATGTAGGGAATACTGGCCACTGTGCGGTAAAACATATTGTTTATACATGATGGTGTACCAGCACATTTTGCGATTTCAGTGCATAACCACTTCGATGATACATAACTCCAGAGGTGGATTGGATGCAGCGAACTTACTGCTTGCCTCCATTTTCCCTAGGGGGTCCTCAATCCCTTGGATTTCTTCTTCTGAGGTCACCTGAAATCAGTTGTATATCAGATGCCTGTAGATACTGTGGAGAATCTGACAGAACAGATCGTCATCTCTTCAATGGACATAGCCAGCACACCAGGGGATGTTTAAATGTGTCCTGTATTCCTTAGCCCGTCAGTGTCGGCTATGCAGTGACCACTGCAGCTGCAACTTCGAACAATTCATATGAAACTATCTTGTCATCTCCTTTTTGACATTGAACTGCGATACACTGTAATCCTGATTTGTCAAATACATTTTTCTACTTATTATTGGGCCTTTTGTTTCATTCAAAGTCACACCCTTCATAACTAATTTTGCAATTTTCTCCCACTAAATGTGTTTGGCGACACCATGTTATGTTCTAGGGCGAGTTTTCAAACACACTACTATTACCCCTCTGAACTCAGTCGAATTGGGGAAACAGCCTGTATAAGATAGAAGAAAACCAATCAATCACACTAAAATACATAGTGTTATTTCTTACTTCCATGAAACACTATTTTTTTATATCCAAGTTAGGATTAGAAAATGAGCAACATTTCACAGAAAAACATGAAATCGCAGAGAAGGATGCAAGATTTTTTACGCTTTAGTGTTATAAATTTGGAACTACGAATATTAATTACTACGTATTAATGCTTTGCTATGATAAAAGTGCATTTTTTTTCATTATAACTGGTCAAAAGCTTAGAATTTGTAAATAAAGAATGCTTGTTACAGCTTCAAATTTATCAAAAGATTTGAAGGAAATCAAGTACAGTATAAGTCCAGAAATGTGCAAAGCTTGGGAACAGAGGTTGTGCGGATTTTAGGATTTTGCGGATTTCAGCACAGAAAATATAATATTCAAAGTGCAAAATAAATAAGGCGTATTAGATATCTTTAATTAAATTATTATATACATTAATACAATAATTAATTATATGCATTAAATTATTATTACATATATAAACTGATTATATTATATTGTTCATTTAAATTAGGCTCCTCTATTTTTAAATCAGCATGAATCTGCTTTTCCTTTTCTCTCAGGAGTAGACCTGAAATAGGTATCCCATCACTCTGCATTAGCCTGAACCACTCGCACAAGACAGCATCGAGGTTTGCCGATTTCGCCTCATGTAAAGATTTCTGGTTTCGGATTCCAGTGTTAAAATCACTGTTGCTATAAAATTTCAACAGCTTTTCTTTATTGTTCCGTATATCATACACAGTCCCTGTGGCAATTCCATACGATTCTGTCATAAACCGAGCAGTAGGACCTGCCTTCATCTTTAGCAGAATTTCCACTTTTTTCATTACCGTCAATGCAACATGTTTACGTTTTCCAACGTTGCAAGCAGTAAAATCACGAGTGCATTTCTTACCTGTCATTGTACTAAAAAGGGTTGAAATTTAAAATATACTTAATATATCCACAAAATATCTGGATTGGGGGAAAAAAAAAAAAAAAAAAAAAGACATTATTAAACAATCTTGTGAAATAACAAAGCTCAGAAAGTACAACAAGGTGAAGTGTAAACTTGAAAGAAGAATTGAGTTAATCATCTGCTTTTTTACCTCGATGCAGATTGGAGGGGGAAAAAAACTCTTATCACGATGTCAATGATTTGGTATTTTCATTATGACTCATTATTATTCAGTAATTATGACGTTATTATCCAGTAAGTGTTTTTTCTTTGATATTTCTCACTCCATGTTGCGGTTTCCGGAACCTATAAACTAAATGTTTATATTTTGAGAGGCAACGCAAATTTCAGGTCGGCGGATTTTCGGTATTAGACTGTAGTTTTTTCATGGCTGGCTTCAAACTCAATTAGTCTCAAATGCCTACAGCCTTAGCAAGTGTGAATTTAGTTAGGATACTTATGACATTTACAACTGTGATGTTTGAGCCACAGAATGAACATTCCTCGGTGAACAAGAGCAGAAAAGGACAATGAAAATTAGCAAGTGCAAAAATAATATCATAATATCATAAATCATTATCTATGCTTGAAATTTTGAATTGCTAGAAAAGTTAGATAAAGGAATGTTTCTAAAGACTATTGAGACTATGAGTACTATTGAGTAAGATCATCAACTGTGTACAACTTAAAAAAAAAAAAAATAAATAATTTCTAAATTTTTGGCTAAGGTTAAAGTTGTAGAAAACTTAGAAAGATATCAAGAGTTTAGAATTAGATCAAATTTATAAAGGTATTTTAAATTCTGATGGAACGAGTATTCTTCAGGAAAAGTAAGCTAAATTTAAAGGTTATATACATAGGAACAGAGGTCTCAAAATGAGATGATTTCTGTTCTTTCCCATTTCATACAGTGTGACAATATTAGATATCAGATTTAAAACTTACAATTTATACTAAATTTAAATATTATTTTGTAACATTTGTTTGGTGAGTATTTCACTTCACATTAAAAGTGTGTGGTAAACAAAGAAAAATAACTTTTTGAATCTCTTTCCGTACAAAAAAAATCCAGAATTTTATTCACAAGAACATGCAGATATTTTATCTAATATATATTGTTCTGGAATAATGCCATATCAAAAGCGAGAAGGTTTGCAGGTTAAAAAAACTATATCTTCTCATTAATAATAAAATTAAAAGATATTGGGAACAATTTGATAACTGAATTACTCTTAAAAACAGTGAGATGAATAGTTGTTAAAGCAACTTATTCATGTTTAAAATTATTTTTAACCTGTTCTAGGTTGCAAAACTAAAGACATTGCATCATAACTTTAGAAGAGAAAAAGGCCTTGAAGTTTCTGGATTTCTTTATGAGTTAAATAAAGTTTTTTTAAATATACCATAATTTTTAATTGAAGTTTAAACTTCAATCAGTAACGTGAACATCAAAACCCCATATACCATACATTTAAATAGTGAATGCATTAACATTCGTTTGTTATAAAAATTCATGCAATTTAAGTTTTTTTTTTTTTTTTTTTTTTTTTTTTTTTTTTTTAAAGGAAAGTAGAAATGCTTAAGGACAGATGTATATCAAATATTAGCTGTTAAAAACTTAGTACTCAAACCAACCATACTGAGTTACATGATTGTGATTCATGACATCTTGTTTCCAGCAGTTGCATGAAGTTATCAAATGGAACAAGTAGCTCCATTCTTTACATGTTCTAATGTACACTGTGAAAAAAAAAAAAAAAAAAAAAAAAAAAGGCAGTTTTATATTTCCCGTTCTACTGGTCCAATTGACGATATTCAAATTGTGTTTTTCATACCTAGAAAGTGCAACTTAAAGTATGTGTTAGATTTATATATAGCATTGTCATAATATAGGTATTTTAACAAAACATCAGACTTTTTCTGAAATGGCATGCAATTTTTTTTTCCATATTTCGATTCTACGACTCAAATTATGCCAAACAGCTAACTTTTGTAAAAATCGCAGGAGTAAAAATTGGCTCTCAAAATTTTATCTTCTCAATGTTAAAAAAAATTGGTATATATTTGTTAATATCCCTTCTTTTATTAAACTTATTTTATTCTTCTCTTCACATTTCAAAATTTAGGTTCATTTCAAATAAAATTCGCCCATTTTTTATGATTTATTTTTAAAATTTGCACTTTTAAATAATTTTTATAAATTTTTCAAAACAAATTTGAATTATAACCTATAAAATTTTTAACATAATCTTAAAGAAGATGTATTTCTAGGCACACCTGCAAATAATTAGAGTTTCTTATTCAAATTTTCTAAGATATACATGAATTTACATAGGCACACTTTAAAATTTGGAATATTTGTTATAAGCTATAACTTTTTTCCCACTTGTCTGCAATGAAAAAAAAAAAAAAAAAAAAAAAAAAAAAGGAAAATAGGTGCTATAAATTAAGATGTTCACCAAGTGAATTATTCTCAGTGGCAAGTTAAGTTTTTGAATTTCCCCATAAATTTCGCATCAAATTTTACAAAATTTAGTATTTAGGAATAATATTAGGTCGTAGAACTGAAATATAGAAAAAATTTGGCATGTCATTAAAGAAAACTCCTATTTTGTGTCAAAATACCCATATCAATGCTGTATAGAAATCTAATATATATATTAAGTTGCGCTTTCAAGACATGAGAAACGCAATTTGAATTTCGTCAATCCGCCCAGTAGAACAGAAGCTATAGAACTTTTCTTTCTTTCTCTCTCTCTCTCTCTTTTTTTTTTTTTTTAGTGTACAAATTTAATCAAGGGATCACCAATTGCCATAATTACTCAAAAAATTAATCTTATGAATGGAGAAGATACTAGTGTTTCTAGAATAGTTCAAAAATGGTCTGATTAATTCTGAGATGGAAATTTTCATATCAATACCTCTCTGTCTTCCAATTATCCATAACATTTTAAAGAGATTTTCTAAACAAACTGATCTATACAGATCACTAACTTGGACGTTCCCAATGAAGAGTTATTCACAGTACAATGCAGTGTTGATTGTTTGACTCTCCAGTTAGCCTTTTAAAGTGAATAATGTCTTTCAAGTCTATTGGACACAAAGTATCATATTATGTGAATAAAAGTGTGTAGTTTAAACTCAACCACTTCTACATAAGCTGGAAACTGGCATAGAATTTTTATCTTCTGCCAAGAGAAAATTCATGGCAACAGGTGTGTAAGGAACCACAGAGGGCAGTACTTATATGTTTATTATTCTTAGTAAGACTGTGCGGCATCCAAGAACCTAATTTCTGGGTCTTTTGCATATGTTATGGCTGTCATATAAGTATGGCTGAATCATTGCTCATTTCCTCAGACAGTTTGCTACAGGTTTGACAAGGATTTGAATTTGTCAAATAGTCCTTGCAGAACAGATGTCTAAAATGGAATTTCTTACATACATGATGCTTCATATTTCAGAACCTAGTTATATTTTGAGATACAGTTGTTTATCTGAATTACAATTACAATTTAAAAAAAAGTGCTGAAATTAGTTTGAATTGGAAAAGAGTACATAGCATACTTCCAATATAACTTGAGCATCTCCGAAGATAATCATTTTCACCATCTTCACACCCTAAAAGATATTGAATGTTAATTAATATAATGAAACAGTTTAGGATACTTAAAAATATGGCTAAATTATTTTAAAAATAAGCACAAACAAGCTTTGTAAACTTATGATAAATTTATATTCTCATACAGGTTCATTCCAAAATCCATAAAAAAGAACCATGAAGCTGAAAATATGAAAATTTGAAACATAAAGCTGAAAACAAATATTCGAAAATATCTGCATTTTTCAGTAATTCAGAAACACATATATAAACATAAAAAACTATCCTGATATCCAGTCTATCATAAATATGAAAAAGAAAGAAGATAGACAGTAATCTCTGTAACAAATAGGAAACATTACATTAGTAGCAAATTATAATTTCACTTTCATGTTTTAAGAAAAATCTAAATACCAAAATAAGGCATTTTGCTATGCAGTAATTTCAGAATCTAGTCGAAGCTTCTTCTTCTTTATTTTTTTAAGCCATATAATTTTTTAGGATCTTAAATCAAAAACTTTAAATCAATATACTGCTTGTAGTAGTTAGTTCATAATACTTCCATATCAGGCACACATCTTTGTACATTTTGATAATACCGGATATTAGTACCATAGACATATATCAGCACATTACAAGAGCTTGTATAATTTTTTTTTTTTTTTTTTATGCAATAGCAAAGACTAAAACACTCTATTTACTGTACATTACTGTCCTGTGTGGTACGAGATCTCTTTTACTCACTAGATGGCAGCACTAACCGACAACATTTTTAGCCTTACAAATTTCATTTTCACATTCAAAAACACATACTTGGCATTTTTACTTCCGATTGAAACAATATAATATTCTGTTCAATGAAGTACAGGAAGTAAAACTGCAAAAAATTTCAGATTTCAGATTTAAACAGAAATATCCATTTTGACTATATTTCTTGCATAAGTCTGTACATATGGACAGAATAAAGGATTCTTCATTCCAAAACAGATTGTACAATGCATTGAAAATGGATTTTTTTGTGAAGTCTGTACATACTCTTGCATAACTCAGAAAAGATTAGCCGTAGAACATTGAAATTTTGTATATGGGACTACTGTAGCATCTAGGTATGCACCTCCTTTTTTTTTATACCAATCGGTTGTACAAAAAGTATATTATATATATATAACATACATCCTCTTATTTGGCTTAAAAGTCCTTACTTGGCCTTCATGTTTTGCAACTGTTTTTCACGTACTTCTAATTAATGAATTGTTTCAAATGATGTAAATATTCACATTTTGACGACTTCAAATTAAAAGAAAAAAGTTCAAATCACATAAAATACGACTAAAATTAAAAAAAGTATTAGAAGGTTTTTAGATTTTATATTACATCCAAAGGGGCTTTTATTTAATGTTTTGTGTGTTACCTTTATTTTTTAACTATCATGTTCTTCGCATTTAAACCATAAAATTCAATTCAACAGCAATATCAGAAAATAATTTAAAAAGAACATATCTTTAGAATTTTCGATACACAGTCTCGCACACTGGAGATAAAAATGCATTTTTTTTTTAATACAGTGTTGCCACTGCTTTCTTTGAAATCATTGAGTTTGTTAATAAAAAATCTGTTAAAGTTTTACAAAATATGAAATAGATAATAAAACAAATTCCAAATTAGGGCTTGAAGATGCCCATATTCAGGTGGAGGATCATGTTATTCAAAATTTGAGGCTTTAGGCATCATTGTTTTTTCACAATGTGAGAAAGATACATACATTCATGCAGCTTCATTATTTAATTTTCCTTTTATTTTTTTCATTATTTATTTTCTTTAACATGGCAATAATATTTGGTGGCAAAAATTTGAAAAGTGATACAGCCTTTTAAAGTTTTCAACACAAAATGTCAAAACGAAATTAACAGCCTTTCTGGGCTGATGCCCTTTGGGCTAATTAACTTCAAATTTTAAAAAATTAATTTTGGAAAATAATGAAATCTAGCTTTTAATATATTTTCCCGGTTCCTATATTTATATTTGAGAAACTCTCATATTTTTTATGAAACAATAAAAGCACAAGAAGTCTGATTCCCATATGACAAATATTCAGCAAGATATTTAATTTCAAAGCTTGCAATTTATGATGTGATTTTCAGTTTGCCTAGAGGAATCAGTTAATTAAGTTAGAATAATTCGAGGAAAGAAGTTTAAGTGAATTACAACAAAAAATGTGTACAATTTAACAGATGTAAGTTTCTAAAAATTTATTTCTGATCTTTTCCAGACTCTTTGTAAACTTTCATCTAAAATAAAATTTGGTTTTCATCTCTAGAATCTGACTTTTGAAAACAGTCATCATCAGAACAATGTTCTGAAACCTTCATTAGTTCTCACATGTCTTCTTTAAGTGAATGCAACTGATTTATATTTTGACAGAAAAGAAATTTGTGGATTGTAATAGAAATCTGTAAATAAACAATGTTTTTTTCTTCCTAATTATTTTGAAAAAGGCGCAAAAAAAAAAAAAAAAAAAAAACTTTGAAATCCTGCACTTAAAGCAGGGAATACTTTTCTTACTTCCCCCCAAAAGCTATCACTTATAAATAAATGAAATATAGAGAGAAATAAATTAGTTACATAATATTCAGTCTACATATATTTGGACAGGAAATGTGCTCAAACAAATTCATTGCATGAAATTGAATTTTCTCATACTCTGGTAGAGTGCAGCTAAAAGTTATCTGCTGTAGGAGTGTTTAATAATCAGCTTTCCATCTAGACTTTACTTATTCAGTACTAAATCCAAAAAATTACCTTTCAAATTCAAGATCTAAATACCTAAAAAAAATTGTTTTTCAAGAACAGAAGACTGAAAGTAAGAGTGATTAAAATTATACTTTAGTTGCTAATTCCAAGACCTTCTGCTGACAGGACCATGAATAATCTAATTATGGTTGGAATATGAGATTCTGATAATCTTTTACCATATCGTTAATTCTGCAACGGAATTCTCAGAACAACAGATTTTTAAATGTCTGTACCCTGCAGGCCATGAATAATCTAATTATGGATGCAACATGAGATTCTGATCATCTCTTTCCTTATCATTAATTCTGCAACAGAATTTTCAGAACAACATATTTTTAAATGTCCGCACAACAAACACTACAAGCAAAAGCATCCACATTCATCAGGATTATACTCTAACAGTAAAAGATTGTAGAATGACTGTGAAAGTCAATTAACAGACAACTGATAAATTTTAACACTTGCACAAACTTCTAAAAGTTTTTATCTTGTAAAAATTGCTTGAAAGTTTTAAAATTAAATGAATAACATTAAACACGATAGAAATTTCAGGTCTTAAAAACTGAGTTGAACATATGGTCTTAGCAGCATATCTCAAGAACTTAGAAGATAGAGTAACTGCAGATCTATTGCAAAATTAAGAAATAGCATATAACTGACAAAGACATTTTAAAAAATTTGTTAGAAGATGTCATTATGAGGATATCTCTGAGATAAATAAAAAGTGAATGTTGGTTAATATTTACATAAAGTATTTTTGTGAGATCAGATTAGTGATACACAGGACATTGTTCTCCAATTCAACTGAAGAAGTTGCTGAAATTTTCCAGGATGCCCTCAGGATAGATGTTAACAGTATTTAGATCTTTTGTATTTTCTGGGAATTCTTCATTTCAGCTAATATTTTTTTATTCTTCTGGCTCCCATACTAACTTCTTAATCCTCTCATATTCTTCATTATCTATCAAATTTATTAATATCTGAAGTAAATATTCCTATCAAAAGATAGTTAGATATCAACTCATATTAGTAATACTATAAAATTCAGTATTCTTTAATGAATAAAACAGAAAGTAATATGCATCTACCAACAAAATATTTCAGTAGATAATAATCAACTTTGAGTATTGTCTCCAATTTCTGACTCTGTTTACTTCATGTTTTCATCCTCCAACTAATGGCTTTTACAATCCATTTTTCATAGTAAGTAATGATAGTGAAATTAAAAGAAGTAATGTTAAAATGCCGTAAAAAAGAAATCAGAATAATTTTAAGAACAGTATTCATGGTTAAGGTCTCTTTCTTGGTGTTCACAGTTTTTTTTAAATTAATCTATAAATGTAAGTTAAGCATTGCTGATAAGTCTGCACTGAAAAATGTAAATGGAAGAAGACCAATGCAAATGCATCTTCAAATTTGCTTATATTAACTGTGGCTATATTATTGAAAAAAAATAGTAATTTCTTCATTTTTATGATGTTCTTGCCAAAATCTCCCCTATTTTAATAATAGAACAATTGTCATCTTATTGCTGATGAACTAAATAGCACTTCTCAGAAATTTAGAACGTTATCTTAAAATGCAGTCGAAGAAAAGAAGATAAGAGACTAGCATAAAAAATACATTGCAATGAAATAATTCATATAATTATGTATTATTTTGATGTAACTTACCTAAATTTAGTTCTTTAACAAGCGATGACATGGCATTTGTAACAGAATCAGCTGCAAGCAATAGATCATTTTGAAGACTTCTTGAACTGGCAGCCTGACCAAATGCAAGACGTACATCTCCCCCTAAGCCATAAAGATGATCAATATATGGATAACTACCACCCCCAGGTGTTGCTGGTGCACTCATTGAAGACAAAGGATAGAATGGAGCAGATCTCCGCATGGACGAAAATGGTGAACTGTTTGGAGAAGACATAGGCGAATGATCCTAAAATACAAATATCGAGAAAAGATTATATGCTTTGAAACAAAACAGGAGTTTAAGAATTATACAGACCATATCATGTCACAGAACTTTCAATATCATTCTTAAATTAATTACTATCTTATGAAATAACTTAAAACATTCCTACTTAAAAAATACATACTATTTTCTGAGGAACAAATACATTGGACATTCTGATAGTTTTACTTATGCATATTGTAAATGTAAGGCAGTTTCTCTCAGTTCTTCACAAAGAGTTCCCTCCCATGTATTTTGCTCAAACAAATAACTTACCTTAATAATCTAATCAAATAAAAATTTTACATATTTACATTATAAAAATAATTTCATTTCTAATACACTGGTAATTTTTAATAGCATTCTAATTAAACAAACACATTAAGCAAATACATAATTTTAAGAAGACTCTCCTATCATTTAGCATGACAGTGTAAAATTAAAACGTGCAGCTCTCTCTCTTTCTTGCAGCAACCTGTGTGAGCAGCTGTTCATTGATGGTCGCTTACCACTCACTTGTGCTTTTGATATTTTTATCAATGGCTAGTTCATGGTGACATCTATCTGTGGCTAGTTCTGGTAGTGAGCAGAAGTGTGATGCAAATGTCCCGCTGACACTGGGAACAAAGTTTCTGTCGAGGCAAGAACCTAAGTCTATGTCATGGGAGTGAAATGCCTTACCATCTCAAAAAAGAGCTCCTATTGTGACGACTTCAAGAACTCCACCTCATTCAAATTTGTAAATGTCTGAATGGCTCTCACCAATGCTGTACATCTCTCTCTCCCACCAGCACTGTTTATGTGATATGAGACTTTTTGTCATGATTTGAGCCCATGTGTTGCAGGCAGAGTTGCGAGCCCATTGCGCTGTTCTATTCCATGCATGGGCAAGACTAGTTACGTCTGTTGAATACTAGTACAATGAGATCCCGTGGATGGTGAGAGTCACATAGTTTATCGACTTCCCAGCTGGGCAGATGGAGGAGGTATATGTTCTTGCCACATTCAAGGTCTACCACTGTAACAGCCTGCAGGAGGGTTATTGATTTATGGTCACTCTCTGTTCTGTGCTTTTGGTGTTTTTACACAGTGGCTAACTCATGGCAACATCCATGGGCATTGGACAGAAGTGCAATGGAAGTATCTTGCTGCCCTTGAAAAGATTCTGTTGAGACTGTGTCATGTGAGTGAAATGCTTTACCCCTATTAAAAAAGTGCTTCTGTTGTGACAGCTTCAAGAAGTCCAACTCATACAAATTTGTGAATGTTTCAGTGGCTTTCGTGGATGCCATATTCTCATAAACAAATGACAGGAATGACAAGTTTAAAATTAGTTAAATTTACTTTCATATTTTCAACTTCTATCAAATTTTCTAAGCTTTACATTCCTCAATCAGTTTTTAACTGCTAACTTGATCACAAAAATACCTTAACTTAGTAGAAATTATATAAGAGTTAATCCTTGCAATTCATCAGATATAGTACAAAGTCTGAAATCCAGACTCGTCAGGACTTCAGTGATTCCGGATTTGGGATTTTTTCCGAATAATAGATTATCAATTTAAATCTGGTAAGATGGCATGCACAAATTATACAATCAAAAATATGAAATCATAATTTATGAAATAAAGAACAATTATGTTCTAAAGGGTATCAAAATTTACAAAAAAAAAGCTTCATATTTATTTGTTTGCTTTATTAAACGTTTCTTCCAATGCAAGTTGTTTAAGTTGCTTCCATAAAAAATTCAAAAAGTTTATTTTTCTTATGTCATGTATGTTTATTTTTCTTATTACAGTTGGCTTTCCAAAGCCATACTCCTTGCATAATTTATGACAGACATGCATTTATCCATTTTTTGCAGCAATTCCACTTTTTGTTTAATGGACATTGAAACATGATTTCGCTTTGTAGATCCTTTGGCAGCTCCAGAACTGGAAACTCTTTTCGATATAATCGAAAGTTCAAGCTTAATTTTTATAAAATTCCTATAATAATAACAGTCTGCAAAAAATAATAAGCTGGATCAAATTAGAAAATTAAGGAGCAGTGTAGTCTGTAACATTAACTGAAATGCCTTAGAATCAGTTAAGATAATTTTAGCCTAGCTTAATAGCATCTGTTATAAATTATTGGCTATGTATCACAAGATTTGCGATGAAAGCCAAGTTGTTCCGCTAAATTTTATCTTGCTCTTATTGTGTACTGAATTAAGCCTGAATTGTATTAGTTATTTACTATACCTATGTTTATTTCTTGCACATGCTTAAAACTAATCTGAGTCCTGAATAAATAAACTCCCACATATACCGTATATACCAGCGTATAAGTCGAGATATTTTGGACAAAAAAAAGACTTCAAAGTGGGGGGATCGACTTATACGCGGGGCCATAAAAAATTAAAAGAATCGGAAGTTCAAAAATTTTTTTATATAATGCAGTTGTTTTTTTTCCCGCACTCAAATTGGACGACTTATCAAATAAGTCACTTACTTGAAGTAATTTCATGACTTAAATTATGTGATGAACTAATCACAGAGTTTCATACTTTAACTAGAGTAAGTTTCGATTAAACCAAAGAATTTTCGGCCCCTGAACAACCGATCAATATCGAGCAATAAAAAAGTTTCACCAACATGCCAAGAAAAGAGAAATGCAGATAGTTTTTACATACGTATAAGTCTTTATAATAGTTATTGTTCATTCATGAAATACTTTTGTTAACAGGCGTACACGTCAAAATTAAAAAAAAATAGCCCACGCAATAACTGAACAGTTTTGAATATTTCTTTTAACTTTTAAAAAGGTTTAAATACAGATAGATTTTACGTATGCGAATCTTTTCCAGAATAAGTTGTAGAAGGTTACTATATACGATCATTTTTCCACAATTATCCTGCGTTTTAGATATGTTGGGAATGCTTTTGCTATGTTCTATTCTACTATGAGTTCTATGAAATGTTTGGCAAATCTGACCATGAATCGGACTTTGAAGGATTTTGATTTTGTTTATTTACCAAGGTATTTTTTATTGTATATTTACTTTTTTTCCTCATATGATTTTGAATAAATGTAGTACTTAAAAAAAATTTTCCGACGTTTCTCGATCGATTTCGGAAGTGGGGGATCGACTTATACGTGGGTTTTTTATTTTCTACGAATTTTTTATGTTGAAGTGATGGGGTCGACTTATATGCGGGTATATATGGTACTTAAGGTTTTATCTAAGGCCAGCACTACATACCGCCTGATGCAGTCTCTAAATTCTGCTTCAAAGCGCCTTCCTAAGTTCTAAATTTTATCCGGACCCAAATTATTAATCTCACTAATTTATGCTTACATGATTGTTTTTTCATAATGATGTATTTTATTTAGTGCCTAAGTGAAACTAAGAATCAAAATTTTTAAGTGAAAATCTCCACATGTTTTATTATGGAAAGAAAAATCAAATGCGCATGCGTAAAGCATACCAAAAAAAAAGGTTTGTGGCTTTGAGGTCTGGATTTTAGATCATTCCAGATAATGGACGTCTGGATTTCGGACTTTGTACTGTATTTTATTTTATGTGAGTCAGAATATTTTACTCTTGAAGAACAAATAAATGTAAAATACACAGAATATCATACACTAGTGAAAGATATTCACTCCTTTCTGTTTAAATGGAATCATATTTTCATTTCACTTTAATTTTTGCTCAGGAGCAACACAGATAACAATTCTGCAAAACTTTTTGAACTTCTTTCCCGATATGTGAATTACATACATTGCACATATTATTATGTGAACTATTCGTGGACTATGCTGTCTCCATGGAGTTATCTATCTACTATATTAGTTTTATATTTTTACCAGCTTTCATATCATCATAGTAGTTTAATGAATAAAATAGTGTAGTTTATACTTTTGTCTCATACTCTAGTAATTAATTATCTGACCTCCCCATATATATAATATATATAATATTTAAAATAATTATAAATATTATATTTAATAATTAAATCTTTTAATCTTATAATTTTTAATCTTAAATAATAAATAAATACACTGCTCGACATTGAAAATGCAACACCAAGAAGGAGTGGTCAGAAAGTGATGAAATTTGGAAGAAAGACAGAGACAGCAAACAGCAATAAGTGACCTTTATTTCAAAATGATAGTCAGAATACAGAACGAGAACGGCATCGGCTCAGTAGGATGTAGGGCCACCATGGACAGCGATGCACGAAGAAACACGTCTAGGCATAGAGTCAATACGAGTGTGGATGGTGTCCTGACGGATGGCTCTCCATTCCCTTTCAACCATTTGCCACAGTTCGTCTTCTGAATGAGGCAGGGGCAGAGTCTGCAAATGGCGTCCAATAACATCCCACACATGTTCGATTGGTGACAGGTCAGAAGAGTACGGTGGCATGGAAGCATCTGTATATCTTGCAGAGCATGTTGGCAGATGCGAGCACTGTGTGGTCGGTTGTTATCCTGCTGAAAAATTGCATTAGGCAGCCCCTGAAGGTAGGGGATTGCCACCAGTCGCAGTACATTATCCAAGTATCTTTGGGCCATCATAGTGTCCTGAATACGAACTAGAGGTGACCTGGAATCTTAGGCAATAGTGCCCCAAACCATTATGTCACATTGTCGCATGGTGGGGCGTTCCGCAGTTACTGCCGGATTAGATCTGTTTCCACGTAAACTCCACATACATCTGCGGCAACTGTCATTGGATAAACAGAAGCGTGACTCGTCTGCGAACATAACATTTCACCATTTTGTCATCCACATCTCTCCAGTCCGGCACCATTCTAAACGTTGGCATCGATGCTGTGGGGTCAATGGCAGTTTTCTTAACGGATGCCATGAGTGCGGGCCGCGTTCAACCAATTCGACGGGAAATGGTTCTGGTTCGACACGGAAATATCCAGGTTATCTTGCACATGCTGCAGAATCATGGTACAAGTGACTTGCGGGATCGCCACAGCTTGTTGGCG